AGCCGCCGCGCCGCCCGCACGCACCTGAAGCGGCTGGGCTGGGCCCCGCCTTGGCCCTCTGCTCGTCCTCCCCGCTCCGCACCGGCCTTCACTCTGGAGCGGCCCCGGCAGCCGCAGCAGGGGCGGCGGCGGCGGATCGAGGAGCTCTCCAGGTCGTCCCGGGAGCGGCTGCTGCAGTCCCGGGACAGGATGTTCTCCAAGTTCACCTCCATCCTGCAGCACGCCGTGGAGGCGGTAAGGCCGCGGGGCTGAGGGCGCACGCCAGGCCGGGGATGGCGGCGGCCTACACTCCCTACCGGCGCGGCCCTCGGCCCCAGGACGTGGCGGGGCCGTCGGGGCCGTGGGCCGGGTCTGAGCAGAACCCCCCACCCCCGCCTCTCCTCCTTGTCCCGGCCCGGCGGGGCTCCCTTCCTCCCGGAGCCGGTGGGCGGGGGTGTCAGGGTAGGGGGCGGATCAGTCCTTCCAGTGTGGGGTCGGGGTCTGGGGGCGACTTCCGACTGCAGCGGGTACCTGGCGGGGCCTCCGGTCGCATCTCCCGGACTCTGTAACCGTTAACCTTCTCGGGGGGGGGGGGGGGGGGGGAGAGAAGGCCGATCTGGAGCAAGACAAAAGAAACGGCCAAACACTGTTTGGGCTTGGTTTTTGTTTTGTTTTGTTTTGGTTTGGGCTGGGGACGATCCTGCAGTGGAAACTCTAGCGAGGAAGCAGCTGACCGGGGGCCCATTTCATAATCTCGCTGGCTTTGGCTTTTGCAGGCCTTGCGGCCGGACTCAGCTGGACTCGATTGATCTGCAGTGGGAGTTTGGAGGGTTGAATCAAGTGTGGTGTAAATGGCCTCGAGCTCTCGGCCATGGGGACAGGCCAGCTGTTTGCTTTCTTGTCCTCTGCCCTCTGGACTGTCTTCCGTTTACTCTCAGCTACACGCTGCTCCTTTGATGATTGCAGACACCGGCCTAGAGAGGAAGGCATCGCCCAAATAGCCTCAGACACCCCTAATAGAAAAGAACTGAACGATGCTGCTTGCTGCAGTTGTAATAGTAAGACTAGCTACTGTGTTTACTCTAGAATTGCCCGCATTAAAAAAAAATGCATCCTAAGAAGAAACGCTTATGAGTACCTTGCTAGTTTTTAAAATGGCATTCGCCTTCCCTGTTCAGATTATGTAGTATACACTACTTTAAAACCCACGCAACTTTTTAAAAAATCAATTACAATGAAACATTTTTTATGGCCAAATAACTTGTTTTGTTTTTTTTAACTTCAGTATTGAAGTTAAAACTTGAGTTTAATTGTTATTTAAATGATTTTGGGATATGTTTAAAAGTACCTTAACTCCACTACAAACTCTTGGGAAAACACATGTATCAAATAAAGGAAAACAAGGTTTCATGTATACTTGAAGGAGATGACAGTTTAGACACAATTAAGTTTTCCTTACTTGCCCAATGGTTGTTGTTAAGTGTAGTCTGTTCCAACTCAGCGATCCTGTATCGTGTTTTCGAGAAGCAGCTGGTAGATTTGAACTGCCAACCTTGCAGTTCAAACCGAGCTTGTGGTCTAGTGCTTACCGTATAGGGCCACATACACATCCATTAATTTGAGTCCTCTTTATGTTGAAAGAATGTAACTAAAATTAGTAGAAAAAGAATGACATTGACATTTTGCTATTTCCATTTCTTTAAATACCAGTTCTTAACATTGAGTGTACCTTAACACTGGGGTGATTGAGAATAAGTATCTTTTACATGGTAGCGTAGTGGTTACGAATCGGGCTGCGAACCTTAAGGTCAGTGGTTCGAAACTACCAGCCGCTCTGCGGAAGAAAGATGAGGCTTTCTACTCCCGTAAGGATTTACACCCTCGGAAACCCTGTACAGGGTCGCTATGGGAACCAACCCACTCGAAGGCACTTAACAACAACAACAACAACAACATACTCTCTAAGGAGCTCTGGTAGCGTAGTGGTTACGAATCAGGCTGTGAACCCTAAGGTCAGCAGTTCGAAACTACCAGCGGTTCCGCGGGAGAAAGATGAGATGTTCTGCTCCCATAAAGATTTACAGCCTCGGAAACCCTGTGCAGGGTCACTATGAGTCGGAACCGACTCCACGGCACTTAACAACAACAATACTCTCTACCTATCAGGTTGACATTTACAGATATGTGAAGTACTTAGAAGAAAGATGACCTTCCTACAGCCCCAGTAAATGCTCATTTTTGTCCTGAGGCCTGTGTTTTCTGTCCTCATTATCTTTTCATAATTGTATATATTAGCATCTCCCAAATTGTCCACCTAAATGGTCTGACCAGTCCTGTAATATCTGTTCTTTACTTGGCTGAAAAAGTTAAGCGCATTACGTTCACCTGGTCCTAGGGAGTAATGTGTCTATGAAGAAAGAGAATGTTTTTCTTTGCTTAGAGTTAATGTTTTGAGCCAAGTTACCTTGAGAAGATGTTAAGTTTCATGAACTTAACATTTTTTGGTGTACTCATTTGCTCCTGGCAATGAACCCTGTACAGTGTCGCTGTGAGTCGGAACCAGCACCACCACAATGATTACAAAGCCATCCCTGTGGTATTTAGAGAAGGTTCTTATGTAGCCCCAACTTTGGTTTCCAATTATCCAGTCTGTTCAGGTATTTCCTTGATATTCTTTCAATTTACTTTTACTATTATTAGTTGTTGTTGGTAAGTGCCATCAAGTCGGTTACAACTCAGTGATCCTGTATAGGGTTTCCAAGGAGCGGCTGGTGACTTTGAACTGCCAACCTTGTGTTTCGAACCAACCTTGTGGTCCACTGCTTTAGTAGTAAATTTATTGTTACTTCTGGTGCGGCATTGTAGGATCAGCATTGCACTGTGAACCACAAAGTCTGCAGTGCAAACCCACCAGCTGCTCCTCGGAAACCCTTTAACAACAATAACATCGCTCAATTAATTTCTGTCTCTTTTCTCTCTACTTTTAATGTGCACATCTGCTTGCTCGGTGCATTATTCTAGTTAATCATTTTTAGGCTTAAACACAGAGGGGAGATGAACCTATACCTGGACAATTCCTTGACCTTGTTTATCCATTGTCTATTTCGATAGATCTGCAGAGTAGTTTTCCCATCCATTCGCTATCATTTCTTGTTCAATTGGATTAGGCTTTACATATTTTTTGAATTTTTTAGTTGGTCAAATGCATATTTATGTAAATGAGGTAAAATTTTTCCTTATTTTTAATCAATAGTTTCTCCACTGTTAATTATTCACGTGTCATTAAATTGACAGACTGCATTTTTTAGGAGAGAAATTCACAGCTTACTCAGAACACATGAACTGTAATGTAAATCCCTAACCCCTTTTCAGGAATGGCACTTCTCCTAGTAGTATAGAAATGGGTAGTTAGTAATAGACAGTTGCCACATGTCACAGGTTGGCAGTCGGGACTCTGCTGAAATTGACAAGTTGGGCAGTATCATTTTAGCACGATTTCTTTAGAGGAAAAGTACACCTCCTTCCTTTTAGTACAATTCAGTATTTGTTGAGGGACTAATAGATATTCGCTTGTGGCGCTGCAGGGTAAGTGCTGGACCACAAGATTGGTTTCAATCACAGGGTCGGGGGTTCAAATTCCCCAGTCACTCCTTGGAAACCCTATACAGTGTCACTATGAGTCAGAACTGACTTCTCAGCACTTAACAACAACAATAACACAATGGTTCATAGTAGCCAATGGACGCTACTTTGCATTGTGCATCAAGCCATTATTCTTTTTACTGTATTGTTTTGTTAAATATATCTTAGTGTATCTGGAAATGTTTGTTTTATGCATAGAAAGGTACACATACACTACATACTTAGACAAACACTTGACTGATATGAAACTATACCTAATTATTGTAACTTATATACAAATTTGACTTAACGACAGACTAAGGAACTGAACTGTTCATTACCCAGGGCTTGCCTGGTAGTGTTCTTTTAAGGAACGATCTCTAAATTAAGTGTTTCAAGCATTCAGCATTCAAAACTTTATGAGCCTACCATGAAAGCATGGTGCTATAGGATAAGCAGTTGACCACAAGGTCAGTTTGAACCACATGGTAGGCGGTTCCAGCTCACCAGCCACTCCTCTGAAACCCTATATGGGGTCGCTGTAAGTCGGAACCAACTCGATGCCACTTAACAACCATGAAAGCCTAGCACAGTGTGGAGGAAACAAGATATTAGCCATCTCCTTGCTCACAAGGAGTCTGCAGTCTGATTTGTGAGACAAAGCAAATATGTAAGTTAAATTATGTGTGAGAGTTAAAAAAAAAACCTAAATCTAGCTATGACAGGGTTACGTAGCTATGACAGGGTTACGTGCCTCCTTCAAGCCCTTAAATTTGCTGGACAAGTTACTTAATCTTTATCTATTTCAGTGTCTTCATTGTAAAGTGGAAAGGATTCTATCTATCTCATAGAATCCTTATAAATATTAAAATGAGTGATTTCATATGAAGTGCTTATTACAGTGCCTGGCACCTATTAATTGCTCAGTAAATGTGAACAGTATTAACACTTAGTTGGTGAGTGGTTCAGCCAATGAGTCTACTACTGTAGGAGATGAAGCAGTGCTCAAGGAGCCAGTGGATAAGTCTCTGTGCAGGAAGTGGGACTTGAACTGGGTTTTGGAGAGCCAGAGAAGATTGGGGAAGAGTGTTAGGAAAGTTGAGGGGAGGGAGAAAGCATTTTGAAAGAAGTAGAATGCTTATGAAACATGAAGACAGGAAGCAGATGTGGCTCGTAGAACCCTAGTTTTCCTCGGAATTATCAATGTCAGCCCTTTTGTGTGGTAGTCATTTTGGAGAAAGACAACACCGGATTTCTAATTACTAGTAGTGTCTCTCCTTGGGCAAACCAATGAACTTGCTTTGTGTCTTCATAGGACTTTATTGTATGGAAAGTGCTGTAGCACTGCCTGGCATGTAACTGCTTAGTAAATATGTTGTGCGTTTACTCAGTCAATATTATTGAATGTTTGCTCCACGTCACGTCACTCCAAACACTAAGATTGTGTAATGCAAAAGATGGCCCAACTCCCGCCCTCATAGAATTTGCTGTAAAGTGCTGTTGAGTTGATTCCGACTCATAGTGGTTCAGTATTGGGTTTCCAAGGAGTGGCTGGTGGGTTTGAACCCCGAACCTTGTGGTTAGCAGTCCAGTGCTGATCCTACAGGGCCACACTAGGACAAGGTAGTATGAGAAGATAGATAATAAAGCAGTTTCAAAGGTGGGAGAAGGGTTGAGAGGCAGGGAGCCACAGGTAGGTGTAGAAGGGACTGTCTCTGAGGCAGGCAGCTTGACAGGGCTTCCCAGAGAAGGCGATGTCCCAGTCATGCATTTATGTCCATTTTTGGTTGAGATATAAGCATATGATTTTGGTTTTTGTTGTGTGTTTTTTTCTCAAAATTGAATCCAGGACTTTGAACCAGTTCAAAACAATTCAGTCATAACTGATAGAAACAAGAGTAACCTACATGTTGCTTGACAGTGGTTATTTTTTGAGTGTTGGATTTATGTCCAGGTGGTGTGGTGCTGTAGGATAAGCACTGGATTTCTAACCACAGTATTGGCGGTTCAAACCCACCAGCTGCTTCTTGGAAACCCTATACAACAGCATCAGGAAACAGGCAGTTGGGTGTCCATTCAAAGATGGTGGCTGACAGCGCAGCTTTGAGTGTTGGTTGGCCGCCATGTTTGTTGGGGCACCACTGCCTGATCAAAATCCAATGCTCAAGAGATTTCATTGTTGTGTAATGCATTCTCTGCCTTGGTTTCCATCCACCAAACCATTTGGAACGGAATCAATGCCCTGATTTAATCTCTATGGTACAAAGATAACTCAAATTAGAACTTCATTTTGTTTGCTAATACATCTTTTCCTTTTTCACCAGAACATACATGTTTTTATGTAATGATAAAATAGGAAATTTGCATGTCAGACTTATTAAAGAGACTAGTTTACTTAGAAAGTTCCACATAAATAAGGAAATTTATTCGCATAGAGTAAGATTGCTACTATCCTAAGTTATTGGTAGTTTGTTGTTGCTAAGTGCCGTCGAGTCGGTTCTGACCCATAGTGACCCTGTATAGGGTACCCAAGGAGCAGCTGGTGAGCTTAAACCACCGACTTTGCAGTTCAAACAGCTTTGCAGTCTGGCGCATTAACCCACACCAGGACTCCATATTGGCAGTTTGTTGTTGTTGCTAAGTGCCGTCGAGTCGGTTCCGACCCATAGCGACCCTGAACAGAGTTTCCGAGGCTGTAAATCTTTACGGGAGCAGAAAGTCTCATCTTTCTCCCGCGGATAAGCTGGTAGTTTCGAACAGCTGACCTTGATGTTCGCAGCCCGATTTGTAACCGCTATGCTACCAGAGCTTAGAACTGTTTAATTATTTATTTAAATAGATGTCTCACTTCAGTATACTACTGGGAGAGAGATGAGACTTTCTGCTCCCGTAGAGATTTATAGCCTTGGAAACCCAATAGAGGTTCGCTCTGAGTCGTGATTGACTCCACCACACACCACCGCCTCTGGGAGAGAGGTGTTCACAAACAAAATAACACCATCCTGCTTTGAAATTGACTATAACTTACAGCAAAAAAACCTGACGCAAATCTTTTGGGACCTCTGGTCTACCCAGTTATCCTTCAACTAGAGTTGAGACTCTTTGGTGAAATAATCTAGAATAAAGATGTAATTCTTTGTAGACCCAGGCAATTCCCTTGGAACCCCTAACAGTAACTAGTAGCCGTGAAGCCGATTCTGACACACGGCAATCCCAGGTGTGTCGGAGGAGACTGGGCTCTCCATAGTTATCAGTGACTGATTGAGCAGAAATAGATTGTCTGGCATTTCTTCCGAGGTGCCTCTGGGTGGGTTTGAATCTCTAAACTTTCCATTAGCAGCCAAGAGCATTAGCTGTTTACCCCACCCAGAGACTCCATATGTTGTTGTTAAGTGCTGTCTAGTTGGTTCCGATTCATAGAACCCTGTATTGGGTTTGAACTGCCGACCTTATGATTTGCAGTCCAGTGCTGATCTACAGCGCCATACCAGGAGTCCCAGGACCCCATATAAAACTACATGAAAGTAGGTCCAGAAAACAAGGAAAAATTTATGTATTTTGTAGACAATTCTCTAAACAAATGATAAATTAAAACAGGCAGAATTTTTTTTATCTAAAAGCTTCAGGAAGATGATTCTGTTTTCTCAAGTTAATACTGGCTCTCTTATTTTTCTTCCTAACTTTTTTCTCAACCCTCCCACATGTAAAAATACTTGTAGGTTTGGTGTGAAATGCCAAAGGAATATCATTTTGGTCTGAAAGTTTTTTGAAGTAAATTTCAGAGCTAAATGTAAATTTTTTTTGTTTTGTGGAATTTAATTGATGGTTTGCTATCCATATACTTTGCTAAAAATATGCAGTGCCTAGCTCAGACTTGAAAGAGAAAGGATTGGCCTGCATACGTCATTGAAGAGGGGGAATGGTTTTCATCTGATTCTGGAGTTGACTTTGATACGTGTACCTTGTATAGTGATGATGTGTAACTAAATACATAACTGCTTTTTACTGGCTTGCGTTTCAAAGTCCCAGGTACAGAGATCCCTGGTTATTGATCAATGCATTTTTCTGATAACTCAGTAATAGAATATTGGTGTGATTTAATTTAAATTTTTTTTTGGAGGTGCTATATGAGGAAGCTTGATTCTTCCACAGACTTTTTGAAGCCCCCTCATATAGCACCTCTAAAAAAAAATTCAATTAAATCACACCAATATTTATTAAGGAGCTCTGGTAGCGTAGTGATTACGAATCGGGCTGCGAACTGCAAGGTCAGCAGTTTGAAACTACCAGCTGCTCCGCGGGAGAAAGATGAGGCGTTCTGCTCCCATAAAGATTTACAGCCTCGGAAACCCTGTTCAGGGTCGCTATGGGTCGAAACCGACTCGACGACACTTAGCAACAACAACAACAACGTATATTTATTAGTTCTGCGGGGGCTATGGGAGAAAATGTCCCAACATATGGTTGAATTATGTTAAAAGATGTTTTTCATCTTTCTTTAAGAAATCACCTTTCATTCTTGGGTTTCACTCAGTTTAGTCTCTCTTTTGGCATCTGGCATATAGCCTCGAATCCATTCGTCTTCTTGTGCTCTTTCTGTGCCATAATGAAGGAATGTGGTTGCATTTTATGGGAAACCTTGAATGTTGCTATCTTAATGCTTATGTCTTTGTGTGTGCTTATTTATGTAGCTGGCACCATCACTTCCGTTACAAGAAGATTTTGTTTATCACTGGAAGGCAATTACCCATTACTACATAGAGACTTCAGGTAAGAAATGATGCTAATAAGTTCGAGAAATACTAAAATAACCCAATAAAATGGTAAAACTATAGCACAACTTTTACCAGTTGAACATTTTTCAGGTGTACAATTTATTGCTATTAAATAAAATATATTTTAAATATATTTTCAGTTATTTTAGATTTAAATTTATAAACAGTTTATTTTACCTTTAATTTGTCTTTGAGATTCATTTATGCATTCATTTAAAGAAAAAAAAAAATGTATCTGTGTGTCAGGCATTGTTGGAGGCACTGAGGGCTGGAACAGCCAATCAGACACAGTCCTTGTCCTAAGAGAGCTGATATATTGATGGATACGAGGCATACAATAAATAGACAAGACCATATAGTGTGTCAGATGGTAAGTGTTAAGGACAAACTGAAGCAGCAAACAGGAAAAGCAGGTGTGTGTATGACGAGGGAAAGAAAACGTCTTTGCACAAGGTGATATCTGAGCTGAAAACTGAAAGAGAAAGTAGGCAAGCTGGGTGACTATCTGGGGGAAGATTATCAAGGAAGAGCTGTAAATGCAGAAACCTCTCAGCAGGAACATGCTCTGTGTGTGGAGTATCCTAGGAAATACCAAAAAACCAGCGTGTCTAGAACAAAGTGAACGAGGTGGGAGTGGGGAGGGTAGAAGATAAAATCAAACAGGTGGACTGGGAGGAGAGGGGGTAGATTTGCACAGGGTGATTCACTCAGGGCTCTGGCTTTTACACTGAGATGGGAAGCCATTATGAAGGTTTCCAGCAGAGATGCCGCATCATCTATTAGAAAGATTCTTTGGTTTTGTGAAAAAACTAGATTGAAGAGTTATAGGGATGGTTTTGTTGTTGTTGTTAAAGTGCCATGGAGTCGGTTCCTACTCACAGCCACCCTGTGTAAGGTTTCCGAGGAACCGCTGGTGAGTTTGGACTGCCAACCTTGTGGTTTGCAGTCCATGTTGATCCACCGTGCCACATCAGAAGTCCACAGGGGTGGTAGCTTGTAGAAGAATTAGAGGTCTGTGGCAATGGTCTTAGCAAAAGATAGTGGTGACTTAGATAGACCAGGGGGAGGTATTAAGCAGTGGTTGTTTTCTGGATATATTTTGAAGGAAATCTGTTGATGTGTTGAATACTGGGTATGAGTGAAGGATAACTCCAAATTTGGGGATTAATCAGTTGGAAAAATCAAGGAGACACTCCTGAGAATGGAGAGACTGTAAGGGGAGCAGGTTCACAAGGGAATTTTAGGGAAATGTTAAGTGTAAGATGTTCATTATATATCTAAATGCGTATGCCAAGCGGTGGTGGTTGTGTGCCACCTAGTAGGTTCTGACTCATAGCAACCCTGTATAGGGTTTCTGAAGCTGAAATCTTTACGGAAGCAGAAGCCTCATCTTTCTCCTGTGGAGCAGCTATTAGATTCTAACTGCTACCTTGTGGTCAACAGCCCAACTCATAACCCGCTATGCTCCCAGGGTTCCTTATATGCCAAGTAGACAATGGGAAATAGAAATCTGTAAATCAGGGGAAAGGTCTAAACTTGTTATTCTTAAGTTTTGACTCAGTGCAGTAGTCTATAGGTTTCCAAGGCTTTTCATCTTTGCAGGAGCAGAAAGTCTTATCTTTCTCCTAAGGAGCGACTGGTGGGCTTGAACTGCTGCCCTGGTGGTCTGCAGCCCAGTGCCTATCATATGGAGCCACTGAACTACCAGGTCTAAACTGTTGTTGTTAGGTGCCTTTGAGTCAGTTCTGACTCATAGTGACCCTATATAGGATGACCAAGGAGCAACTGGTGAATTTGAACCCACCAGCCTTGTGGTTAGCAGTCTTGTGCCAGTCCTACAATGTCACAACCGGACTCTGTTTTGACCATAGAATCCTTCTATATTTCAAATTAAAGCTTGGATATTTATTCAGTTCTTTCAGAACTGAAAAGTTGAGCATGTGCTTCTCATTTGGTTTCTCTAACTCCAGGTCTTTACTGCACTTTTCATTTTAATACTTGACTTTTTCTTCTCAAGCTGCCCTTTGAAATTTTCTGTTCAGCACTTTTACTTCCTCAATTTTTCCTTTGCTTTAGCATATTGACTATGGAGAACAAGTTTCAGAGTCTCTTCTGACATCCATTTTGGTCTTTGTCTTCTTTCTTGTCTTCTTAATGACTCTTTTGCTTGCTTCCTATATGATGTTCTTGATGTCATCCCACAATTCTTCTGGTCTTTGATCATTCATGTCATAAGTCATCAAATCAGTTCTTCAGATGATCTCTAAATTCAGGTGGGATATATTCAAGGTCATATTTTGGTTCTTTTGGACTTTTTTTTTTTTTTATCTGTTTTATTATGACTTATATGATATGGGCGTTTACATGGGAGAACATTAGTTTTACATTCATCCTATCGTATATTGTTTCATTGCCATGGTTACAGTCCCCTCCATGCATCATCAACAAACCAAAGGGTATACCCTGCAAGCCTACCCCCCGGTCGTCAGCACACAGCCCCTCTCCCTCTCTTCTTTTGGACTTTTAAAAAATTTTCTTCAGTTTCAGCCTGAACTTGCATATGAGCAATTGATGGTTTGTTCCACAGTCTGCCCTAGATTTGTTTTGACTGATGATATGGAGCTGTTCCATTGTCTCTTTCCACAGATGTAGTCAGTTTGATTTCTGTGTATTCTATCTAGTGAGGTCCATGTGTATAGTTGTCTCTTCTGCTGTCTTAAAGAAGGTATTTGAAATGAACAAGTCATTGGTTCTGCAGAATTCTGTCATGTGATCTCCAGCACTGTTTCTGTCACCAAGCCATATTTTCCAGCTAATGATCCTTCCTATATGTTTCTAACCTTGACATTCCAATTACCAGTAATTATCAGTACATCTTGATTTCATGTTTTATCATTTTCAGACTGAAGAGATTGGTAGAATTCTTCAATTTCATCATTACTGGCTTTAGTGGTTGGTGCATAAATTTGAATAATAGTCGTATTAACTGGTCTTCCTTGTAGACTGCAGATATTATCCTATCACAGAGAGCATTCCTTTTGATGATGAATGCAATGCCATTTCACTTGAATTTGCCATGTCCGGCATAGTAAGCCATATGATTGTCTGATTCAAAATGGCCAATACTTGTCCATTACAGCTCCTGAATGCCTAGGATATTGGTCTTTAAGCATTACATTTTGTTTTTGACAACTTCCAATATTCCTAGAGTAATACGTCATACACTCCATGTTCCAGTTATTGATGGATGTTTGTAGTTATTTCTCCTCATTTTGAGTTGTTCACCATCAATAAATGAAGGTCCTGAAAGCTTTACTCCATTCATGCTATCCTGATCAACTCTACTTTGAGGAGGCAGCTCTTTCCCAGTTATATTTTGAGTGTCTCCCAGCCTGAAGGACTCATCTTTCGGCACTGTTTCTAACAATATTCTGGTGCTAGTAATAATGTCTCAATATTCAATATTGTGGTCTGACAGTGTTCCACTGCTATTCATAAGGTTTTTGGTGGCTAAACATTCAGAAGTAATCTGCCTCTCCTTCTTCCAAGTCTGTAATAGTCTGGAAGCTCAGCTGAAACCTGCCCACCGCAGGTGACCCTGCTGGCATGTAGAATGGCGGTCACAGAGCTTCCAGAATCACAGTGTCTCATAAATCACCACAGTATGACAGACTGACAGTTGACAGGTCTGGAATTAAGAGTCTCGGTATATAAGTTGTATTTAAAGCCATGAGACTGGATGAGATTATCAAGCGAGTGAGGATAGATGGAGGAGAGAGTTTGGATGGAAGTGAGCCCATGGGCATGATGTATAGAGGTTGGAAAGATAAGAAGGCTAGCAAAGGTAACTGCTTTTGCCAGTAAGGTGGAAGAGCCAAGAAAGAATGATGTTCTGGAAGCTAAAGAAGAGAGGATGCTGATATAAAGTTAATGAAGACTGAGAATGAATCATTAGATTTATGCATAAGGAATTTGTTAGATAAGACATTTCTTGTTGTTAGGTGCCCTTGTGTCGGTTTGGACTCCGTAACCCTATGTACTAGAGGGTGTGCAGATGCCTGGAGTCGGGTTGTTTAACTGCAAGGGGTGTAAACAAATTGAGGAAAGTTGAAATGACACGCTGATGGGGTCACCGAGTGAAACACGGAGTGATCCTGCACCAACCATCCTCACAGTCATCTGGGCTCGAGCCCATTGTCACAGCTGCTGTGTCAGGCCATCTCGTTGGGGGTTTTCGTCTTCTTTACCAAGCATGCTGTCCTTTACGGCTAAAGTACATGAGTTGCAGTTTCGCCATCTTCGCTTCTAACAAGCATTCTGGCTGTACTTCTTCCAAGACAGATTTGCTTGTCCTTCTGGCAGTCCATGGTACATTCAATATTATTTGCCAACACCATAATTCAAATGCATTGATTCTACTTCAGTTTTCCTTATTATCCAACTTTCACATACATGTTGTTATTAAGTGCCGTTGAGTCAGTTCTGACCCGTAGTGACCCTGTATAGGTTTCCAAGGAGCTGCTGGTGAGTTTGAACCGCTGACCTTGTGGTTCAAATCGACCTTATGGTCCAGTGCTTATCCTACAACAGCACAGCAGGACTCCCATGCATAGTTTTTGTTAAGAGCCATCAAGTCAGTTCTGACTCATAGTGACCCTGTATAAGGTTTCCAAGGAGCAGCTGGTGGGTTTGAACCACTGACCTTCTGGTTGATTGGCAGTCCAGTGCTTATCCTACAGCACCACACCAGAACTCCATACCTATGAGTAGTTTAAAAATCTACTCACATACGTATGAATAGATTGAAGATCTACATACATATGTACACACATACATGTAGATTGGAACTCTCACATCCATATGAGTAGATTGAAAATACCAGGGCTTGTGTCAAATACAGAGCCCTTTTCATGAATGACAGGGAGAAGGGGGAAAGCCTGCTGGGAGTGGGCTGAGGGAAAATGGGCAGGAGACATGTGCAGACGATGTGTCAGATCTGCTCTTTAAAGATGTAAGGTATCGCAGTGTACAGTTGGAGGGATGATTGAGTTGAGCGGGAAATGGGTACAAGAATGCAATGAGACAGCCTGGACTGGTAACTGCAGGTGGTCATTCAAACCCAGCAGCCGCTCCATGGGTGACAGTCTCAGAAACCCAATATATAGGGGTCACTAGGAGTTGGAATCAGCATGATGAAAGTGGATTGATTTGGGGGTCTTTTCAACCCTTAACTAGGCGAGGTAAATTGGGACCTAATGCACAAAGAGAGACATGGCCCCCAATAGGCCTGTGGACAGCTTTTCCATAACAGTTGGGTGGAAAACAGCATTTGAGTATCATTCCAGGAGGTGAGTGAATGTGGTTGAGGAAGTTGGAATGATCTTCTAGTTGCTTCTATTTCCTCAGTGAATTGGAAGGGCGGAGAGCAACTGTAGGAAGTGCAAATCAATTAGGGTAGGTGCAGGGGAACTTACTCTGTAGAGGGAAAGATAGTCTTTATTGTAACCACTCAACTGTGCTGTTGGTAAGCAAAAGCAGCTGCAGACAACACGTAAAAGAGTGAGTGTTCCGTTGTTGCAATAAGGTCTGTGCACAAACAAGCGGTAGAGCGGATCTTCTATTACTGACCTGTGAAGGAGGGACAGGCCACACTACAACGGAGCTGTCCGGGCTGCCTTGAGGAAAGTGTAGATAAACATGAGGGGGTGCAGATGCCTGGACTTGAGTTGCTTGATTGCAAGGGGCGTAAACAAATTGAGAACAGTTGAAATGACATGCTTTAAATAAGAAAAAGGCATCTTACTATATTTGGATAATAAGTGAAAATAAAAAGACCTTTCAGTTATATAACACAACTTCGACCTGTCAACCTATTTGTTTAGAAAGGTGACCTTTTCAAATGACTGTTCTTAGAGCTTGTGAGTCCATCCTGCCTCCATGAGTGTGAGGAAATGCGTGCATTCATGCCTTAAAGTATTTTGTACAATCTATAAATTAATGTCTGAATTACAGGGACGTATGGGGTGGATTTTAAAAAAGTCTGTGGCTGGTAGAGTATGACTGAGTGGTAGGAGGAGATGGTGTCTACGCTAGGCTTTAAACGATATGTAGGGCGGGAGGTGGAGAAGGCAGGTAAAGGTGTCTCTGGTGGAAAGAACAGAGTATGCGAGGCATCCTTCGTTTGAAAATGATGAGGGGAGTAGCAGAAGCTAGATCTTGGCTTCTACGAAGCTAGGGTTTGAATCCTATCAAGTCAAGTTTACCATTTGTTCAGATCACCATTTAAAAAATGATTTAGGCCACTTTCTCCCATAAATACCTGTAATAGAAACATGTTTGAATATTTGTTCATTTTTGGAGTGTTTATTTCAAGTCGACAATTACAGGGAAAACATTGTTTTAAAGTTAATTAGAAGTAAATTTACAAATTATATTTTACTGGCACAAGGCTGCTCATTTTCTATGACTTTCCCAGTGTTGCAGTTTAATGCAGCCACAATCAAAACCAGAACCTATGCTCCCCACATTGGCACAGCACAGGCAGGGTTCTGGTGTACCTGGCGCCTTCTGAGTGGAGCTTACTCAGTTTTCATCTGTCCTGGGCTACTCAGCTTAGTGTTCAAGGAAAACTTATATCTTCATGAAGAGGCTTAACAGTCAGATTTTCTTAACAGCCTAATTGAAAAAAAGACAAAACAAAAACAAAAAAAAAAAAACAACCACCACCATTTTATGTGAAATGACAAGTACATGCAAAATTCTGATGTTACCTACAGTTTTCCTGATGATAATCCCATTCCTAGTATAAATGAACCTTATTTCTGAGTTACTATGCATGAATATTAAGTTGAGTATATGTCAGAATATTGACCCAGATTCTGAATAAGAACATGACAAAAAGCACAGTCTAATTTCTAGCTAAGATAATCACCTCGTGTATAAACCTCACAAAAGTATGTAATTCAGTTTTTTTTCTCAGCTCAAATAAAGAGTATTTTCAGTATGAATATGCTAATAATTATTTGATGACTATTTTTATGTTGTTGTTTAGATGATAAAGCCCCAGTAACAGATACAAACATTCCATCTCACTTGGAGCAGATGTTAGACATACTGGTACAGGAAGAAAATGAACGAGAATCTGGAGAGACTGGGCCATGTATGGAATATTTGCTTCATCACAAGATCCTGGAAACATTATACACCTTAGGAAAAGCTGATGTAAGTTCCTTATCCACTTCAAGTCTTGGGCATGTGACACATGCATTCATGTTTTAGAAATAACCTACCATGTTCTAAATTTAATTACAAGGGTATGCATTGAGCATAGCTGGATTCAAGTCAGTATTTTGAAAAAAAGGGGGAAAGGGTAGCCTCTATGAATAATATACCCATAGAGCTAGCAAAGCTGCCAAGTGTGCTAGACTGCCTCGAATCCCATGTAAAGGTGTAGGAAAGTAAACTCACCGAGACTGCTATTTGTTGTTTGTTAAGTACCGTGGAGTCACTTCCGACTCACAGTGACCCTGCACAGGGTTTCCGAGGCTGATACTTAGACTGCCTCAAATTACATGTAAGCATTTCGGAGAATAAACACATGTACATGTGCTCAGAATCAATGGACATGAGAAAGAACCCAAGGAAGTGGATGTAAAAATAGGGGTTATTTTTTGTAATTTTGAAAGAGAATGTTGATGATAACTGGGTCATTAACTTCACTGAAGTTTAGAGCAAATTCAGATATTTAGACCTGTTGAATCTTGTCACCATTCATCTGTCAGTTTGTCATGCTGTGATGGCATGACAGTTCTGCCAGAGACCTCTTTAAAGTGTTCAAGAGCAGAGATGTCACTTTGAGGACTAAGGTGAGTCTGAGCCACGCCTGGTATTTTCAACTACCTAGCGTAGTGGTTACGAATTGGGCTGCCAGCCCTAGGGTCGGCAGTTCGAAACTACCAGCAGTTCCGCGGGAGAAAGATGAGGCAGTCTGCTCCCATAAAGATTTATAGCCTCGGAAACTCTGTGTAGGGTCACTATGAGTTGGAACCGACTCCATGGTACTTAACAACAACAACAACAACAACAACAACAACAACATATGCATGTGAAAGTTGGACAATGGATAAGGAAGATTGGAGAAGAAATTATGCATTTGAATTATGGTGTTGGGGAAGAATATTGAAAGGGACTGCCAGAGAACAGTCTGAAAAATACCAGCCAGAATGCTTCTCAGAAGGGAAGGAGGCAAGACTTCATCTCACATACACTGAAATGCTATCGGGAAGGACCAGTCCCTGGAGGACATCATACTTGGTAATGTAGAGAGTCAGCCAAAAAGAGGAAGACTCTCAATGAGATGGAATGACACAATGGCTCAAACATAGCAGTGATTCTGAGGATGATACAGAACTGGGCAGTGTTTCGTTCTGTTGTGCATAGGGTCTCTGTGTGTCAGAACCAACAACAACAAAAGCAAATTAATCTTGGAAAATCACTGCAAAACTGCTGTTATGGTATAAATGATACTTTGTATATCAAAGCCTTCAAATTACTTATCCAAACAAATGCTCAAGCCACGTGGTGCTGGAAGAAACAGTGAAGAGCCTTGAGTTCGAGTCAAGACGCCTGGCTTTCCAGGCCCACATTGGTCACAAGGTTTCCCCCTAACTCAAAATCCTCCCATTTGTTCCATGAAGTTTTATAACTTATGGAAATCAAACAAAAAAATTTTACTAGGCACATGTAAACACCAAATGGAGTTATGATTAGAGAGCTTCCTTTTAACTAAGTCTAAAATATCCTTATGCAGTTGTGGACTTTTTGGTCATTTTTAATACCTCAGTGTTAATTTATTTATTCACTTTATATTTTCTAGGGAATATATCTGTTCCACACATCCTGTAGTTTATTTCCATCTGCTCTTCTTTTGCTTGTCCTTTGGAAGGAGAGATTGTATAACACTAAATTGATACGCTATTAATTGGACTCCTGGTGTAGTGCTGTAGGATCAGCACTGGACTATGAACCACAAGGTCGGCAGTTCAAACCCACCAGCTGCTCCTTGGAAACCCTGTACAGGGTCGCTATAAGTCAGAACCGACTTGACAGCTCTTCACAACAACAACTAAAAGTTAGGAGGTGCTACTAGTACGTTTATTTTGGTAATAGCGATAGTAAGCATTGTTGGGATTCTTGTGTGAATGAAGCCAGGTATTTGCTATCTTAAAATTATATAGTATTTCACTTAAGATTATAGTTGTTGTTTTCAGGTCACCTGTATATGATGATGCTTTGGAAATGCTCATTTCGTGTCTGTATTTTAAATGTGAAGGGAGTATGACAGTGGTAGTGGTGATGTGACATGGAGTCGGTTCTGACTCATAGCGACCCTGTACAGGGTTTCTGAGGCTGTAAATCTTTACGGGAGCAGAAAGCCTCATTTTTCTCCCATGGAACAGCTGGTAGTTTCAAACTGCTGACCCTGAGGTTCACAGCATGATTCGTAACCACTACGCTACCAGAGCTCCTCGAAGGGAGTATAAGCCACTTAATTATAAAACATACAGCTTTGTTATTGTGCACCGTCTTAATACAGTGTGAGTAATTATCAGTTTTAAAGAGTTGTCAGAGTAAATCACAGCATTTTATGCCATAGGATTCCTTTTATTTACATGCATGTGTGAGAAGGCTTTATATGATGGGAAGTTCTTGATTGCCTATCTTGTAAGTAACGAGGTCTCCCTTCTCTCTAGCCAGGGCATTACCAATAATGTTTTCAGGTTGGCCCAGCATCTTGACTATAAACATGCTGACCATGCCTGAACCAAACTCTAGTCTCGACAGTGTATCATCACCATGCTGTTCATGAATACCCCACCTAGCACCTAGGTTCTATTATCCTTTGAAGAACGTTAGTCATTAGTATTTGATTGAAAATGTGATTCTGGCAGTCATTAATTGATTAATTGCATTTGTCCTTTTAAAGTGGGATGCATTCATCTACATTGTCTCTCCTCATTTTATAATAAGTATCTGTATCATCTGTTCTTGCCCTGTTTTCCCTTTTTCATTTTACTCAGTGTCCTCCAGGAATGAAACAGCAGGTCTTGGTATTCTACACGAAACTTCTGGGAAGGATCCGGCAGCCACTGCTTCCTCACATTAATGTACATAGACCAGTGCAGGTATAGTGTTTAAGTAATTACTGCATTCCTTCATTTGCTTTCTTTTTTATAGAAATAATATTATATGATTTTTTTTTCCCCTAAGAGTAAGATAAAAGGAAATTGTTCTAAAAACAACATATAGGTTTGAACTTCCTTTATTAATGACATTTTTTCCCTAAGAGTAAAAGGAAATTGTTCTAAAAATAACACATAGGTTGAACTTTCTTTTTAATGACATTGTATTAAGTACACTTCATGTCTTTCTAGTTCTCTTTTAAAATTGTATACATTATGGCCTTAAAAGAATAATTTACTTTTAGAAGAGTTTGTTACATATCTCACTTTTTATGGTAATGTAAATATAGTTGTAAATTATAAATATCTTCAGGGTAAGTAGATGTTATTTACATGCTTGTAAAGACAACCTGAGCCTTTTTTGTTTTTAAAATATAATATAGTTTTATTTTGTTTTTACAGAAATTAATTCGACTTTGTGGTGAAGTTCTTGCAACTCCAACGGAAAATGAAGAAATTCAGTTTCTTTGTATTGTGTGTGCTAAGCTGAAGCAAGATCCTTACTTGGTTAATTTTTTTCTGGAGGTATGGTCCATTTCTTGTCAACCTTCAAAGTATGCTTGTGTTACAATTAGAATTAGAATTAAATTCTGTGAATAATGTAAGAAGGAATGACATTTTGGATAGCAGATCGATTGTTCTACTTCCCAGAATCCTTTTTCATTTAAGATCCCTGTTAGATTCTAACTTGAACTCTCTTGGCACACAAGATTGTCACAGAATGCCGTGGAACATTCCGGTGGAGTGTCATCCTTTCTCCTGTGAGCTTGCTCAGGTCCTGGACACACAGAAAGCCCAGGCTTGGGAAGAGCACAGCTTGAGAGCGAATCAGAGATGGCAGTCACACGAGTTGGGATCATGTTTCAGCCATGCTTGCTGTGATGTGTAATGTGGGTCAGCTGGCCAGGGGTAAGGCTGACTCATCGGCTCTCCAGCCTGCTCTCAGCTGGGAGGATGCCCGTGCTCTGTTGTACTGTCTGTTTACAGCCATCGTCACTGAAGCAGAGTTTACTTGAATCCGTTGACATTTTGGATTATACTTCCAGTTGTGAAGTAGCAAATAACTTTTATGGACTGTCTGCTTTCATCCACTTCTTTTTCAGCAATGAAGTCTTTAGAAATATATTTTGTAGTTTCTAAGTGCTGTCGAGTTGGTTCTGACTCATAACAACTATATAGGGTTTCCAAGGAGGTGGGGTTTGAACTGCCAACCTTGAGATTCAAACTTTTCTGGCACTGAGTCAGTTCCAACTCTTAATGACCCAGTATAGGACCCTGTATAGGACTTCCAAGGTTGTAAATGTTGACAGGAACAGAAAGCCTTTCTCCTGTAAAGCAGTTGTTGTTATTGCTAAGTGCTGTCAAGACGATTCCAACCCATAGCAACCCTGTATAGGGTTTCCAAGGAGCGACTGGTGAGCTTGAGCCGCTGACCTTGCAGTTCAAATGACTTTGCAATCTGATGTATTAGCCCACAGCACCACCCCAGGACTAGTAGGTGGGCTACAATTTACAAGTTGTTGTTAACAGTGCAGCGCTTATCCTGCAGATTACCTTGGGGAACAGATTTGGTTGCTATGCAACTCCTATAGGTCCTTGTTTACAATGGCAATTTCAGAACCATTTGAACCAGGTTGAAGCCCTGATTTTTTCAGGTAGCATTCAAGATACATCCATGAGTTTGTACCTATTTATTTCTTATTCATTCATCAGCTGAAGGGACTTTAGATTTATTTCTGCTTTTTGGCAGTCAGAAATAAAGCCACCGTAAGCATCCACATTCAAGCTATTGTGTTAGTATCCAGTTCATTTCACTGACGTTAATAGTAGGAGCAGAATTGTGCTTGAAAGCTCTCCTTGTCAGCCCTGGTGTTGTCAGGTTTCTGTTTAAATTTTGAAGCCCTGTTGTGGCGCTGTGGGTTAATGTGCTGGACTGCAAAGTTGGTTTGAACCTCAAGGTTGGTTGTTAAGTTGGTTTGAACCTTGAGGTCGGCGGTTCACTCTCACCAGCTGCTCCTCGGGAACCCTATATACAGTGTTGCTATGGGTTGGAACTGACTCCATGGCACTTACCAACAACAACAATAATAGGTATGTCTCTGTTTGGTGGCACTATAGGGTAAGCCCTGGACTGCTAACCGCAAGGTTGGAAGTTCAAGCCCACCAGCTACTCTGAGAGAGAAAGATGAGGCTTTCTGCTCTCAGAAGGAGCTATAGCCTCAGAAACTCTGTACCTACTCACTATGAGTCGAAATTGACTCGATGGCAGTGAGTTTGATGTTTTGGTTTTGAATAGGTGCCCGAGTTCATTTTCTCTTTCACATTACTTAGTAAGTTACTCAGGATCCTAGGATAAACACAAGGTTGACAGTTCAAATCCATCACTTGCTCTGAGTGAGAAAGATGAGCCTTTCTGCTCCCATCAAGACTTGTAGTCTGTATAGGGTCACCGGGAGTCAGAATGAACCCCTTGACAGTAGATGAAGGACTATGAATGCCTGTTTTTCACTACATGCATCTTACTTTGAAAGTTTGCTTCAGCAGAGCTAGAAGATCTTCTTAGGATTTTAGATTTCTAAAGATTTTTTAATGATAGGGATAGATTTATGGATAAGGGGGAGTATTACAATTCTTTTGGGTTTTGGTTGATATTTATAAGAAAGTTCTTCAATTCAGTTAAGAAGATAGTTTCCTTTTTTAAAGTTCATTGTCTTTCCCCATGCAATATTTTTCATTTGTCACAATCCTTTTCATTGATTGTGTCATTGGTTAGACACGTACAATGCTGATGGTAGAAAAATACATTTGAAATGTGCTTTCTGCTTAATGGGTGCTTGGTGTGAACCTTACCACACGTGTTCTCCTTTACAGAATAAGCTGAAGTCATCGGCTTCCAGAGGAATACCCGACGTCACTTCAGAAGCCTCGTTGAAAGGTCAAGAGGCCTTGTCAACAGATACTGGACAGTCCAATCAGCCTGAGGAACTTTCTGGTGCTACCGGACTGGAACAGTCAGAGTTAGAAGATGGGCTTCCTCATCATATGGACACTCTGTCCACCAGCTTGGATCACCTCAGTGTCACTCCACTGCCAGAGGCCTCAGTGGTTCGTCTCAACCAAGACTACAACTTAGTGAACTCGTTGTTAAATCTCACCAGAAGTCCTGTGAGTTTTCTTCTTTACCTTTTTTTCCTAATGTGACCACCACAGTAGTAAAAATAGCAGAAACCACCGTCCCCACCAAAATTGTATTATAGTGTAGTGTAAACATTTAATTCCTTATCCATTGAATTTTTCCAAGTAACTTGTTTTACGAGGGGGCTTCAGAAAATTTGTGGGGAACTTCCATTATCTTCTCATTCCATCATTTCATGAATTTATTTGTTTCACTTTTGATTGTGAATTGGGTGAAATTTATAGACAAGATCATCAGCTCTACATTCAACAAACTATACACACCTTATTTCATCTCAATGACTGTGGTCCCCTCGCTGCAACAACATTTATCCAGCTTCCTCCCTGTGGCTCCCCATTGTCAGCTTATGTTTCACAAATGAACAAGGCAAAAACATTTGATGAACACATACAAAACAAAAATTATGTATTCATGTAAATGTCCAGAGGTCACAGTCTCCCGGCCAGCCTACTGTCCGCAGGCTCACAGCCGCTGTCTGCTGTCGTAGCTTTTCTAGGTAGAGATCTCACGTTCCACACAGGCTCTTCTTGACAATCCTGGGATCATGTGTTCCTGACATGAAAGATTACCCACTTCCTCCTTTACTTACACATCCTCTACGATTACAGGTGTGACAATTGCAATGAATCCTGCAGTTAGTCACGACTGAGTCATAAAATCCTATCACTGGAACTTTGTAACACCCTCTCGTATGTCTAATTCTCTTCCTCAGGATGGCCGAATCGCTGTGAAAGCATGTGAGGGCTTGATGTTGTTAGTGAGTTTGCCAGAGCCGGCGGCTGCAAAGTGCCTCACCCAGAGCACTTGCCTGTGTGAACTGCTGACAGACAGGCTGGCGTCCCTGTACAAGGCCCTACCTCAGTCTGTGGATCCGTTAGACATCGAGACAGTGGAAGCAATTAACTGGGGGTAAGAACCCTTATCTGTGTTTCCCGTAAAGGGGACTTCTGACACCAGCATTTCTGAATCTGTTTCTGTTTTGCAGTGTTAGAAATCCTTAGTTTTGAACAATATAACCCTGTAAGTGATCCTTAACATGGGATTGCTTTGTTGAGGCTTGTATTAAATTTGTTACCCATCAGTGGTAACAAATGTGTGAGGATGAGCCAGCCGTCACATAGTGAAACTACTGTTGATTTTGTTCATTACTATGGGCAAGTTTTAAGGGCTTACATGAATACCAGTAATTTACCTGGATCGTTTTATTAAAAACAAAAAGCCCCAAAAAGACAGCCTCTTCTTCTTTCTTAAACTCATAATTCCTTCTAGCCACTGAGGGCAGTTCATGTTTTGTGTTCTGTTTTTAGAGAATCTCTCCTATTTCATTCTTGCATCTTTTCTACCCACCTTTTAAGGAGCTCTGGTGGCATAGTGGTTATGAGTTGGGCTGCTAAACTCAGATCAGCAGTTCGAAACTACCAGCTGTTTTGTGGGAGAAAGAAGGCTTTCTGCTCCCATAAAAGATATACAGCCACGGAAACCCTACACAGGGTGGCTGTGAGTCAGATCTGACTCTACGGCTCACCGCCAGCACCAGCAGCCCACCCATTCTCATAGAAACACGTGATTATTGCAATGTACTCACAGGTTATTAAAAGGAGATAGAAGCATTAGTAAAATGCCTCATTGTCCTGCCCCTTAAATGCAGTCTGATACTTTGCCGCATAACTTAAAGGGCTCGGTAGTGGTTTTTTACTTGTTTTTCTGCCCTGTGTACTGGCAACATCTTGTTAGCATCATCACTGTGTTGCATTGTGAGTCAGAACGAGAGGCCGAACATTCCACCACCCTTTCTTTTTGCACCCCTTCCTTTTCTGAGCGCCTCGCCTCTTCACTGCTGTCACTGGATAACTTACTCTGGGACTCTGAGAGCTCTTCTTTTTCTTCTGCTGTGGCTGCTTCTCTCTTCCCACCTAATGAGTTAAAATTACAGCTTTTCAAGTTTCCTCTTCTCTTTGGCTTTCTTTTGTTCAGCATTTGGCATTGCTCCATTGAGTGTATCTTACTGTGCAAAAGCCTTCATACCTCCTTAGGCTTGCATGCATACTGGGTAGGGTTCGTGTGTTCTGGTTAACTTGGGACTTAGCATTTCTTCTGGTGTCTTACAGCTTGGACTCCTATAGTCATAAAGAAGACGCTTCGGCATTTCCCGGGAAACGAGCCTTAATTTCATTTCTTTCCTGGTTCGACTATTGCGATCAGCTCATTAAGGAAGCACAGAAGGTTTGAATATTATTGTTACTTATTGATAATTTAATTGTCTGCAAAGTAAAATTTGAATCTTTCCTTTGTATTTCTGAATACATCTTAAATGTTTTAGCGAGGACAGCATAGTTAGTAAAACAGACCAGCAAACACCAGATAAACAAAAACCAGACGTGTGTGTCTTATGACTGGAGCAAAGGTCTGTCCTCTTGTGTTTCTTTAAGTACGGTACAACCAGGGCTTTGAACCACTTCAACATGGTTCATTCAGTGATGACCAACGGAGGCATGGCCAGCCTGTGCATTGCCTTGTAACACATTCAGAGTGGCACACTCAGCTACCGTCTTTGAGTGGGGCATCACCACCTATTTCCTACATGGGTCAGAGTCCACTGTGCAAGAGGATCGGTTGCAATGCAACACCTACATGGCCCTTTCCCCACTGACCATGGCTGAACCGTTTTGAACTGGTACAATGCATCATGAGGAAACACTGGTCTTCCTCTCTTTCTCATCTTTGAGGATTAGGGTAATACTTTTTGTTCTGTTCCCCTTAGTCTGGGAATGTAGATCAAATGTAAAGGATTCAGTAGCTAGTCTCGGTTCATATACCATCAGTGAAGTAGCCAAGAGGGACCTTGTACTTTTCCACGTTAATTCAGATGGAGAGTGCAAACTCATGTGTTGGCATCACAATTTGCTCTCCTTTTTCCACGAAAACCAAAAGATCGTGGGGTTTGTTTGTACTGTGTTCTAGACTGCTGCTGTTGCTCTGGCCAAAGCTGTTCATGAAAGGTTTTTCATTGGAGTGATGGAACCCCAGTTAATGCAAACGTGAGTGGCCTCTGCTTACAAACAAACCGAAATGCTGTGCTCATGTCATGCTTGCCCCTAAGTGCCTGTTTGTTGTGCTCAGCTCTGAGATGGGTATCCTCACATCAACTGCTCTCCTTCATCGCATTGTTCGACAAGTCACCTCCGATGTTTTACTTCAAGAAATGGTGGTTTTTATCCTTGGAGAACAGAGAGAACCGGAAACTCTGGCAGAAATTAGCAGACATCCTTTAAGACATAGGTTAATTGAACACTGTGATCACATATCTGATGAGGTAAGCTATGTAATGATTTATAATTAGACTTGATAATTGGACGTTTTAACATGTCTGTGATGTTTACAACCTCTTTTGTTACATGGCTTTATAAATCGAAAGCAAGACTCCTAGGCTGGCAAGAAGGATAAATTGTTTAAAGATCTTTTCTTGTTAACTTTTATTATTTTTGGTTTCAGATAAGCATAATGACATTAAGAATGTTTGAACATCTTTTGCAAAAACCCAATGAGCACATTCTTTATAACTTGGTCCTAAGAAATCTTGAAGAAAGAAACTATACAGAATATAAGCCCTTGTGCCCGGAAGATAAAGATGTGGTAGAGAACGGATTGATCCCAGGCGCCGTGTAAGTTTTTAATCCAACTCTAAGTTCAGCGTTTCATGTAGAGTTGTAGCCTTCTCTCTCTTCTTAGGTCTCTCCCTCAGTCCTCAAGCAAACAAATTTAACAGTTTAAAACTTTCAAAAAAGTGATACTTCTATCCCCTCAAACTACCATCCTTTTAAATTGAGAAAAGCTATTATCTGGTCATGAGAGCTAACAAAATTGATACAGTTTTATGTTCAGTGTTAGTATAAAGTGTTAATTTGTCAGTAGAACGTAAATATGAATTCTTTTTTTTTTTGCTTTTTTCTCTATGTTTAAAATGACATAATGCTTTCTAAGTGAATAGCAGAGGTTCTTTTGGTTTAGAAAATGTCATAATGAAATGGGCTTTCTTGTGCATGTGTAACGTAAATGTAGCGATCTGGAAGAAGACCCATTATTTACTGACATGGCACCAGATAACACTTTGTCAAACCAAGAATGGCTTACTTCGTCACCTCCTCCTACCCCAGAGCACCCCAAAACAGATGGGAAAACGGAAGTCCATAAAATTGTCAATAGGTGAGTTGCTGTGTAAATATGACTTGATAGTTCACTTGCTTTTTTTATAACACAAGATAGCTCTGCTCTTACACTGCTGGAAGGCGGGTGGTGACTGTGTGCCATGACCTGTTTAGGGCTGCTGAGGCTGTAAATCTTTATGGACGCAGAAAGCCTCATCTTTCTTCTGCTGAGTGGCTGGTGGATTTGAACTTCTCACCTTGATATTTGCAGACCAACATGTAACCCCACTACACGACCAGGGCTCCTTATATAAATAAATTATGAACTCAGTGGAAATCTTCCCTTACTGAATCTAAAGATTATGTCAACTTCCTGTCATGCCTGTGTAGCAAGTGACAGCTGGTGCAGTGATCAATACCCAAAGCGAAAAGCTTCACATAGAAAAGAGCCCCTAGCAGTGGTGAAATCAACCACTTTAAAATATATACCCAAGCAGTGTAATTATAAGTACTTGCCAGTTGGAACAATATTGAGACTGACCATTGTGACAGATTGTACTTACGAAATACGTACTCTTGTGTGCTAAGCTTAGGGCTATTGCTTTTTGTTCATTTTGTGCTTTAGTATGTTTTTTGGATTTTTTTGCAGTGCCCTTTTGTGGTAATTTATTTCTCTCTCTATTCCTAAGCAGAGCTGTCACTGATATGCCAGGTTCTGGCAGGTGACTTTAGAGAAAATGGCACACAATTAGGCTGTATAAAAAAATAAAAAAAAATCAAGACACACAATTAGGCTGCATAAAAACCTCAGGCTGAATTGCTTAAAAGCCAGTTTCCTCTGAGATGAACAAATATCAAGAAGTTCTGCTTTAAGTGGACTGACTAATTTACAATATAACCTTTAACATCATGAAAGAACATTTACTCAGTGAATTATTATGCTGATTCAAAATAAGTAGTCAGTTTTATTTTTCACATTTCCATTTGCTTTAATATTTGGGTGAACTTAAGATATCACTAGATGCTGTAATACATATAATATTGCTACTGAATTGTGAGTTTTTACTCTGGATGTTTTCCCCATTGAAGTTTTCTCTGTCTGGTACCGGATGAGGCAAAATCATCATACCATGTTGAGGGCACTGGATATGATACCTACCTCAGAGATGCTCATAGGCAGGTGAGTGAAGTCACTAATTATCTGAAATGAACCCTAATAAGGATGCACACACTCCTTCAGATCTTGTCACAGTTTCCTTTAGTGACTCCTCCAAACTTCAACACCAGTGACCTGAATTCCACTGCTGCTTTTACTCTGCACATGACCTTGCTCTCCGACTCTCTTAACTAGGCAGCTAGCGCTTTCTCAAGACTTCCATATGCTTTCCTTCTGTGCTTGGCACTTTCTCATTACACCTCTCCTCCCCGCCCGGACCCTTTCCCCTGTAAGAGTATTGCTCTCAGTGATATTACCCAGCTACTCTTACTCACGTTCCCAGGCTGCTCCCCTTCCCTGTTCCACCCCCATTCTTACCCACAGAGTCACCCACACATGCTCTTCCGCCCAATTCTCACCCACTCCTTCCTGCCCTGCATTCTAGCTTTTACCTTTCAGGAACTGCTTTCTCACAGGTCCCTTCTTGATGGTTGGATGAAATGGCTCTTTCTCCATCTTCTTTCTTCTTAATAGCGTTTTACACTGTAAACCACCTCCTCCTCAGGAAAAAAACAACAACAAAAAACGTATTGATAAAAGTTTGCCATTTTAACTATCTGAAAGTGTTCTGTTTGGTGGGTTTTAGATATTCATTTAGCACATTCAGTATATTCAGTTCAGAGCATTTTTATCGCCCCCAAAAGAAACCCTGTATCCATGAAGCGGCCTCTCCCCTCCCCCTTCCCCCTGCCCCAGGAAGCCACTACTTTCTGACTCAAATGATAAAAAGACACACTTATTTTACATTTAAATCCTATGTATTGAGGCATGCTAATATGAACAATTCATTATCATAATGAGACCAAACAGTTGCATATCGGATTGTGGAAATCAATGAAGGATAATTTAGAAAAATTGGAAGTCATCAGAGTTGAAGTGGAGCATGTAGGAATCAGTATGCTTGGCATTATGAAGCTGGCATGTACTGCTGTCCACTTTGATCTGAACAATCATAGAGTATTCTGTGTCAGAAATGACAAACGGAAGAAGATTAACATTGCACTCATTGTCAAAAAGAAAATGTTCAGATTGACTCTGAAGTACAGTGTTTTCGGTGATGGGATAATATCCATAGGCCTACATGGAAGACCAGTTGATACAATTAGTATTCGGATTTAGACACCAACCATTCATGCCAAAGATGAAGAAATTGGAGCTTTTGACCAACTTCTGCCATCTGATACTGGTCACACAGGTACTTAAGCTGCATTGATAATTTCTGGCCATTGGAATGGATAAGTTGAAAGCAAAGAAGGAAGTTCAGTGATTAGAAATTCAATCTTTCTGTTAAAAACAAGACCCTAGACAGCGTGGTTTTTGTAAGACCCATCGCTTAGCCATTACATATATCTTTTTTCCAACCGTATAAGTGGTAGCTATGCACACATTAAGGAGCTCTGGTAGCGTAGTGGTTACAAATCAGACTGCTAATCTCAGGGTCAGCAGTTTGAAACTGCCAGCTGTTCTGTGGGAGAAAGATGAGGCTTTCTGCTCCCGTAAAGATTTACAGCCTCGGAAACCCTGTACTGGGTCTCTATGAGTCGGAACC